GGGCTCGGGGGGGATTTGGGCTCCGGTAACGTCACCCACTCAGTGAAAGGCAACGAAAGAATTGCTTAACACTGGTTTTCTGTGAGGCCGTGGTGTCACTCCGGTCGAGACGACCCATTCGTGCCGAAGCATGGCTCTCCCACGGTAAACTTGAAACTTTAATCATAAATGTTATAATAGTGTAATAAATTTTATTACCCACTTTTGATAGTATTTGACAATAATTTGGTAATAAATAGTTTTTCATATTGTAAAGGACTCTACTCGATTTTTAATATGTAAGTACGTAGGTACGTTTTTAATATTTCTAGAAGAACTGGGCATTCCTTTTTCTGAAAACAAAATCTTGATCATACCATTTAATACCAGACGCAGAAGTTATTTTGAAATGATTATGAATTTAATTTATGGTTCCAGGGCAGAATTTGCAGTGAAGTGTTTTTTTTTATAAACTTATGTAAGAACAATATAAGTTTAGAAACATTAAAAAAAACTACTTATCAACCCCACAGCAATACACACTTACTCAAACATTTCTGACTATTCAATTAAAACTACCCCAATACAATATTTAACGACAATAAATCTAAAAATTATTCATTACGGGAACTGCGCCGGCGCAACTTAAACAATGAAGTCACTTGAAGAACGTAGAACAATGCGTGTGTTTCTGTGGCTAACAATATGGACGTATTGTTGGCAAAACATATTGGGTTTCGTTTCCACTCCAGGTCGCTCCTGGCAGACGGTATTTTTATGCTCGCAAATTAACGAGAATACTTCATGAAAATCGTTTATACTTGAACTTGACTTGAGTCAGCAGTACTTTGAGTAATAAAGCTTGAGTGTAAAGTGCTGCCAGTAGAAGAGAAGTCAGTGCTGCTGGTGGAACATTGTGAAAGGGATGAATATAAACGACTGCACGGATGGCGTAGTGGTTTAAGCGGTCGCCACGCCGCTTCCTACTACGGCGAGTGTTGTGGTTTCAAACCCCACATGGGGCGACACTTTGTGTGATCCACAAATTGTTGTTCTGAGTCTGGGTGTTCTTTGTGTCCGTTTCATGTATGTTTGTAAAGTCCCCCGCGACACAGGATTTATTCCTAATGCGGAAGTTGTCTTTTAAATAAGAAGAAGAAGAAACAGGCAATAACACGCGAAAGATCTCAAAGGATAGGTAAGCGGAAATTTGAAGTACCGCTTTGTAACAACTACTATGGGCCGTGTGGTGACGGATTAAGAATACGGAGTGTCACCACCCCAATACATCCCATGAGTGTCGTAAGAGCCGACTAATGGAGCAAACTACGCAGGACAACAGCACTGCAAGGAGAAGGAAAACTTGATACAAACCCTATACCAACCCGTCTGGCCAGCGTGGTATAGTAGGCCAAAACCTTTTTAAGGAGAGGCCTATGTCCAGCAGTGGACCACTAAAGGCTGCTGATGTGATGATGATGTGACTATGGGCAAAGGTCCAGTAAATATTTAGTGCCAGTAAATTTTAACCGCCTCTCAGAAGAGATTTCTAATACTTGTAATATTTCTAATAACGCTCATTTACGAGAAATCTTCAAGTCGAGGTTGGTCAAGTACCTTCTTGAGAATATACTCGTACATAGTATTATTATCGTTTAATAGGAATTAAGATACAACGTATATCTAAACAGATTTTTCATGTAGTACTTAAAGGAAAGATGTTAAATGGATTAAAAAAATTCTTTCTGTTTCAAAAGACAAAATTAGGAATATATCCTGTGTCGCGGGGGACTTTAACTACACAAGGAACACCCAGATTCAGAACAACTATTTGTGGATCACACAAAGTGTCGTCCCATGTGGGGATCGGACCCACAACACTCAGCGTAGTAGTAAGCGGCGTGGCGATCACTTAAACAACTACGCCATCCGTGCAGTCTTAAAAAAAAAAAAATAAGGAGCTACGACTGCCGACAAACAGTCCTGCAGTTTGACAGAAGTAATGTACAATGGTTGTAACAATTTGATAACAAACACTTTTTCTTTCTTTTCTTGAAAAGTTTTTTTATGATTGAGGGGCAAAGGCGCAATGTTCTCACCTGATGGTAAGTTCCGCCGGTCATCGACACATGCAACTGAGGAGACACAGATGGGTTTCCATTCTTTTAGTGTCCTTCCCCCTTGCCAATGATTGTATGGGAAGCGAGGAGTGGGGACTTCGGGAACCTCACTCACTCGGTGAAAAGCAACGAATGAATTCCATAAAATCGTTTTCTGTGAGGCAGTGGTACACAGAACACACACACACACACACACACAAACACACATAAAGTTGTATACTTATTGTATAATACACTCGCCACTAAATTATATTATTGTATTGCTGTAGCTTCAGTAGGTAACTATGAGCCAGTAACTCAGAGCGGAGACATGGTGACCTATCATACAGGTTTCTACCTGGCTTAGGCATCAGTCTTCCACAATATAGTCTCGAGAGATTGTATTACTTACGAAGCATAATATTTACAAATACTTGAAATATTGTGATGAGAAATAAACATTATTTACTATTATTTATCCCTCCGCTCGAGCCGGCCCTTTTGTAGTTACGTAGAAATTTGATGAAACTTGCAATTAAATTACAATTACACTTCAAACAGAGTTGCAGACGTTCATCGTCGGCGATGGTCACTTTCCATCAGGGGTCTGCTCGTCTGCCCCCTCTAACATTAAAAAAAAACTGTCACTCTATTGAAATCAAATTTTGGGTTAAAGTTTTAACTTTTTAGGAAATACTATATTTTTTTCTTTTAAATAAGTTACGTTGTACACAGTTGCACTATATTTAATAATAATATTAATTATAAATACGTGTTTAGAAAAAAAAACAAATGAAAATTAAGAATGAATTAACCCTTACCTAAAGACGTCATCAACAAATGAGGCACTCGAGGGTCCCACCACTTGAAACAAAGCCACAGCGGGCGGAGGGTTACGCCGTAGATCGTAGCAATTAACGACACAATACCGCGCGGGCGCAGATTTAACCCTGTGAATATGCTGCGGGTGGAATACACGGCGCAATTATTGCCGGTCGTAAAGACCCTTGCTGTTTGTCATTCAAATTAAATGTTTTTTGTGGTCGAGTTGCTTGCAATATCACGTACAGTTTTAAACAAAAGCTCGTATTTACGTAGACATACATTTGTAAGTGTAACATATTTTCTTCCAATTATTTCGAACCTAGCGCCTGTTAGCGAAGACATTAGTTTGCGAAATCTGCTTAAAGAAATATTTTAAAACCTTTTCTTTACTAATGACTCTCTTACTAAACCCTAAACCATTTACTCCGAAGACATTACCACTTTGCAGTGTTAAGATTTCCGATTTTGTACGCCACCGGCGGCGGACGCGCGTCTGTCGCACGCGACCGACGGTCTGAGAGCCCCGGGGCAGACGCGTGCGGCGTGCGACCTTGTCTGCTCGCACTGGTTTCTAAGAACCCAGCGCTGAGCATTTCCATACATAGAATTCGTACGCCACCAGCGGAGGACACGCGTGGGTCGTCGCTCATACACAACCGTCGTTCAGAGAACGCCGGGCCTTATCGAGCCGATCAAGTAAAAGGAGCAAATCCTTTCTTAGTTTTAACTTTACTATTTAAAAATTATGTAATTCACGTGAAGCGTTATTCCCATCACCATTTAATGAAGTAAAAACAAACTATTTCGCCATAACTAATCCTACACTGTGTAACAGAAGTTCTAACCGATAATTAGTAAATACTCTTGTAATTTACTGTCACAAAACTTCCTACAAATGCTTTTGCCTTGTGTTGAAGGGCATTTCTCTCGTTTAGATAAAAGTAAGATATAAAAAACCTCATTTTTCCCCTAGAACGGAAGACTCTCTCTTTTATGCATTCGGCTCCAAACGTTTTCATTTACGAAAATAATTTCAATCGAACGCTTCACTCACGTAGGCGGAGGTTTACCGCGAGTGAATAAAGGCGGCGTCAGACACACGATTGAGTCGCGACGCCCCGCCGCGACGCTTTCCAATTTACTTAAAACAAGCACAATAGTTGATCGTGCTTTGTGTCGCAGTCGCGTCGTAGCCAACAAACACACCCACCACTCTTTGAGAATGAATGTCACAGAGATTGCGATTTGAGGCTTTGAGAGTGAGTTGTGACGTACATCCTATAAACCCTTTCGAAAATGTATATATAGGGCTGATTCTATGTGGGTTTGTTCTCTGTGTGTGGGTGTACTTTATCTATAATATGTATGTATTTAGGAATATATAAGTATGTTTATCAGCAGTCTGTTTACCAGAGTACAGGCTCTGCCTAGTTTGGGATCAGACGGCCCTGTGTAAAATGTCTATCACATCAACAGCCTCTGACAGTCCACTGCCGGCCACAAGCCTCTCTTTAGAAAGGAGGTTTTGGCCTACTATGTGTATGTGTACTTGTGTGTACATTTTACACATACACATGGCAATTTTACACACAAGTACACATACACATGGCCTACTATGTGTATGTGTACTTGTGTGTAAACTGTCTGTAAATATTATATTATAATATTTACAGACATTTTACTATAGGCCAAAACCTATAATAACCTTTAATATTATTCTTTTGTAGTGAATGTAAAGCATTTTAAAGATATGGAATAGAGATAGATAGATTAATAAAGAAATATTATTAAGTAAGCAAAAGAAAATCTCACATCTAGGTATTTGTTTAATGAAACCATCGATATAATATAAATACTCGTAAAACCATGAATCACAGTCGAATTCATCATGTCAGTCGTCCAACAGATGCTGATCTATTTCTGAAAATAGGCTTTAAGATAATACTCAGTAGTTAAAACCTTGAAAATATACTGTATTTCATTGTAAAACCTGTAAATAGACATTACATAATTGACATAGTACATTACATAATTGAATTAAGAATTTAACATTTTTTTCTTCTTTACAGAAACAAGAAATCATAAAGAAAAACGAAAATGCAGCCGTTCCAATCTACCACCCGTCCCGAGGGGCCCCGGGAGTCATCTCCCGAACGAGGCAAGTCACCTGACACACCTACAACACCAGTTCTCAACTTCTCCATAGCACGTCTCATGGAACCTGATAGGAAGAAATCAGTTTCTCCTGAAGCGCCACCACCACCGGGCTTTTTGTCATATGGAGCTCAACTTCTGGACTCTGCGTTTAAGCAGTACATACCAGCTACAAGGAGGCAGTTGGTTTCACATTACCCTTTGTTATATTACGGACCTGACTTGGTTTCACTGACATATGCTCACCAGTTACATTTACCGAGACCTCCACCGCCAATATCACCTGTCCAGCGACCGCCAAGTCCAAGGCCACCTGCAGCAGACCACGCCGTCTCCTCCACTACAGGCCCAACGACTTCACCGGCAAAGAACAAAAGTTTTGCTTGCGGTGATTGTGGCAAAGTGTTCAACGCTCATTACAATTTGACAAGACATATGCCTGTCCACACCGGTGCCAGGCCTTTTGTTTGTAAAATTTGTGGTAAAGGCTTCAGGCAAGCGTCTACTCTATGTAGGCATAAGATTATTCACACGTCAGAAAAGCCTCATAAATGTCTGACGTGTGGCAAAGCCTTCAATCGGTCGTCAACCCTCAATACGCATGCACGAATACACGCTGGCTACAAACCTTTCGTCTGTGAGTTCTGTGGTAAAGGTTTCCACCAGAAAGGAAACTACAAGAACCACAGGCTAACCCACAGCGGCGAAAAGGCATATAAATGTAACATTTGCAATAAAGCTTTCCACCAGGTATACAACTTGACGTTTCACATGCACACACACAATGAAAGAAAGCCGTTCACATGCAGCATATGTGCAAAGGGATTCTGCAGGAATTTCGACCTTAAGAAACACACCAGAAAGCTGCATTTGGGGGCTGGCAGTTCAAACAATGGTGATTCTTCACTGGACACTCAGGATGAATCAACCCAAGAGGCGACGGCTAGTCCTGTGTCAAATGAAGAAGCGAGTCACGCTGCCTTCAGGCCATTTCTGACTTCGCCGTACCCGAGGATTTTGGATCCTTCGCGGATGACGGCGCCGAATACGTTTTTTTCTAAGCTATTGTGACCCGGGGCTAGTTACTTCAATAGCTATGGTGATAAAAAAGAGTGATTTTATTGAGGGATTGATTTATACCAATTAACTACTAATTAGATGTTTTGTCGTTTAGCAGTTTGCTTTAGTATTTGGCTAAGCCGTCCTTCGCTCGCTTGTATATGTAATATTAAATAAGAAAATTATTTGCGTAATCAAATTCAAATCGCCAAAAGTAGGTATTTATGTGTATTTTGGAACTTTAATAGTCTCTGAATTGGAGAAAAAAGGTCTCTTTGTTCAGCATCATAATTTTATTCATAACGTACGGCATATTTCTCGTTATTAATGAAAGCCAACACAAATCTGAAAGATTTTCTAAATTAAATCGCAATTGTGAAAATTAATACCTATTGTAGACAACCAAATGAATACTTCCTGACATATTTTAAACTCTTAAACTACAGAATATTTATGAAAATTCATGGCTTTTGGCGCCGTTTTCGTCAGTAAAGTTATAACTTACACTGCCTCATTAAAAATTGCACACTTTTCTTGTCAAAAACTAAGCAAAAGGAAAGATTTTGTAATTTTTATAAAATTATAACTGCCTACATTTTTTTTCTAATTTCAATTCATATTAATTAATAATAATAATATCTTTATTATCTCAGATAATACAAACACATTACTAAAATACTGCTGCCCTAAGCGAGGCAATTGCCTGTGTTTTCAGTGTCAGTGTTCAGTACCTATTGTAATTTACAAGAAATGACATATACTGATGTGTACAAAAGTGAAAGAGGATTGTATATTATACAAACCGAAATGATATGCTTTGAGTTATACCCCCATGTGTATTTCGGGGATGAGTGGCAGGTCGCTTTACTTCTTGCAACGGAGCCCCCATCTGGTAAGGCATCGTTTATCCTTTATCGTAAAATTATATTTACGTGTACTTATTATTTAAGTAATTACCCATATAGTTAATTGTAATCATATAAACTGGTAGTTTATTTTGTAAGTACATACATATTGATGTTGTAAATATTTTAATTTCTAATAGTTTAAATCTAGGTATTCTGTATTCTGTGTTCTTAGCAGTAGATATTAAAAAAATATATGAAAGTTTATAACAAAAGTCAGTCAGGAATGTATCGCAAGCTTCTTTTTTAATACAATTTGTGTGGTCCTGACACGTTTAAGAGTAGAGTGATGATTGTTACTCTCCATCAGATGACATGAACGTCAAAAATCTATTCCATCACTTAATAATAAAAATAATATATAAACAATAAATAAAATTGAAGTGTCTTTTTGTAATGTCAAAATATTAGGTTTTTTTTATGCGCACATGGTTTTTATTGTCCGTGTGGTGACGGATTAAGAATACAGAGTGTCACCGCCCCTATTCATCCCGTGGGTGTCGTAAGAGGCGACTAAGGGAGCAAAATACGCAGGACAACAGCACTGCAGAGAGAAGGAAAACTTGAAACAAACCCTATACCAACCCGTCTGGCCAGCGTGGTATAGTAGGCCAAAACCTCCTTCCTAAGGAGAGGCCTATGTCCAGCAGTGGACTATTAAAGGTTGTTGATGATGGTTTTTATTATGATAGGTAGATATGCAAATAACCTTGTGAGCATGAAAAAAAGTTTTATGGCATAGGCTATGCCTAAAAACCAGTTTAAATATTTTTTTGTCTGTCCATTTATTTGTTCCTGGTAATCTTCAAAACGGCTGGACTGATTTATGTAATATTTTACTACCAGGTAGCTGTATATATGAGAAGTAACTCGGCTAATTTTCCTCTCAGAAAAACCCTATAAACATTTTTGGATTAAGAATCGTAATCGTGGGTATCGTAAGAGGCGACTAAGGGCGCAAAAAAACGCAGGACACCAGCACTGCAAAAAGAAGGAAAACTTGATACAATCCCTATACCAACCCGTCTGGCCAGCGTGGTATAGTAGGCCAAAACCTCCTTTCTAAGGAGAGGCCTATGTCCAGCAGTGGACTAGTAAAGGCTGTTGATGTGATGATGATGGTTTGTTGTACCGTACTACACCACTAAGACAGCGCTTTTCAAATTCCACGCGAACAAGTCGTGAGTACCTAGCTAGTAATAACTATAATTAATTATTCCAAATCTAACTCAATATTGTGAAGAAAAATGTGTAAATTAAAATGTAAATTTTATCTGTTTAATACAAAAAAGTCTCTTATATAATTTTACTTCTAACTTCATATTTATTGTACATATTGTTGTGATATTTAGAATTAGTTTCGTAAACTAAATTGTAAGACTTTCTTCAGAAAATGGTCTCTAGTAATGTAAATAAAAATAAGTGTCTGCCACTATAACAAAATGTTCCAGACCCAGATCCAGAGATGTAGTTGTGTGGTGGATTAACGTATTGTAAATACCATTAAATATGTATAATTAATTATAGGTTATAAAATAGTATCAACAAATGCAATACTGGTTATAATTAATAAAATATATACACTCATAATATATTATTTTTATTGTAAACAAGCACGCCTTGTCTAGATTCGTAAAGGCTCCGGAGAATGCAACATGATCGCCCAGCTCTAAGAGTGATTTTCTGGCACCATCCAGAAAATCACTCTCTGCAGGAGCAGGTCTGAGAAGGGGAAGATCTTTATTTATTTATAATAACTTAATGCACGAGTGGTACACAGGTGGACTTAATGCCTAGGGCATTTTCTGCCAGTCTATCTTCGGATGATGTTTGAAACGGATGCAAAACAGATCTTTACATTATAGGGGGGTAGCTTTATTCATTTGCGTGGTGCTATCCGTGTGCTGACGGATTAAGAATACAGAGTATCACTTTCCTAATTATCTCGTGGGTGTCCCAGCATGGTATAGTAGGCCAAAACCTCCTACCTAGGACCAAGCATTTTGCCGTCAATCAGACACTTTGATCCGTGTCATGACGGATTAGGAATACGGAGTGCCACCACCCCTATTCATCCCGTGAATGTCATAAGAGCCGACTAAGGAAACAAACGTAGCAGCAATGCAAAGAGAAGGAAAACTTGACACAAAGAATTTACCAACCCGTCTGGCCAGCGTGGTATAGTAGCAAAACCTCCTTTCTAAGGAGAGGCCTATGTCCAGCAGTGGCCGTTATAGGCTGTTGATGATGATAATGACGATGAGACACTTCAGGAGTTAGATGCAAAAACTATAAGGTTTATCTACGAGTAATATGTAAGGAAAAGTACGTAAGAAAGGGAGGCCACTATAGGAAAGAGATAAGTTGGGGGGGGGGAGTAACAGCTCAAATAGGTTAAGGTCGTATACTAATACTTGTAATAAGAAGTGATAGTTGTCAAAAATTACCAGCCTTCAAACCAAAATAAGCTTCTTATCAAGTTAGATGTAAAGTTTAATGAAACTAACTGATAGCTGTAAATTTTTTTTATTTATAAAAAGACAACTCCCGCATTAGGAATAAATCCTGTGTCGCGAGGGACTTTACAGACATACATGAAATGGACACAAAGAACACCCAGACTCAGAACAACAATTTGTGGATCACACAAAGTGTCGTCCCATGTGGGGTTTAAACCCACAACACTCGGCGTAGTAGGAAGCGGCGTGGCGGCGTTAAACCACTACGCCATTCGTGCAGTCAAGTTGCCCAAAATAAAGTCACATTTATAGAACAACGGCTCCATCCCACGCCCAACAGCTGCCGTTTCAAGTTGCCATGAGAGTGTGAGCAGCTAGCCCTGATTATAACAATAATGTTGGGTTGACGCACCACGGGGACGAACCAACGGTCCATTACAAATTATAACCTTGAAACGGCTCGCGGTGACAGCGGTGCTCAAAGTTTATTTGATGCCAAAGTCTTCAACGCTGTATCTTTGTTATACATTTTACCAGAAGTCTTCGCTGTGAAGTTTGTGAATGAATTGTTTTTTAAAAGGCATAAAAACTTACAAGTTACTAACTGTAAGTTTCTTGTAATAAGCTGTACAGCGTCGAAAACTAAACTTGAGTTCTTATATCACATAGTTTCATGTCCAGGACTTCAAATAAGTAATTATTCATTGATTTAAGCTACTATAATAATAAAAAAATAGAAATGTACTCTTCCAAGCAAAGTATATTTTGTTATCAAACATATCCGTTGTACTTTAAAATAAATTTTATATTAAGAATTTTTCAAATGCTATAATGAATTGACGCACAGCAACTTTATTATTAAGGTAAAGTATATTAACAAAGAGTTAAAAAGTTATTGAAGTTACATTTTTAGCTTTCAAAGCCATATTACAATGAGGTATTTAATTACTAAAGTTCTGTAACACAACTTTATTTCAGCTTTGCCTACTTTGGGTCTAGATAGCGTTCAGTATTGTCTCAAAATATCTTCTGAAAAAATCTATCAGTTAGGATTTAAATTTTGTTAATGCACATTTGCACAATTTGTTAATGCGCAAATTTAAAGTTAAATCACACATAACCTAAACACTGAATGTTTAGGTTATAAATAAATTAGATTTTTGAATCATCACATCATCACATCAACAGCCTTTAATAGTCCACTGCTGGACATAGGCCTCTCCTTAGAAAGGAGGTTTTGGCCTACTATACCACGCTGGCCAGACGGGTTGGTATAGGGTTTGTGTCAAGTTTACCTTCTTTTTGTAGCGCTGGTGTCCTGCGTTGTTTTGCTCCCTTAGTCGGCTCTTACGACACCCACGGGATGAATTGGGGTAGTGACATTCCGTATTCTTAATCCGTCACTACGCGGACAGGTCAGATTTCTGAATGTCATTATTATAGTGCCAGTGTCAAGGAGTCATCAAATTTTTTTTAAGCAACGGCCCAGATTTTTGAGCACTGATGGATTTTTTAGAAGATATTTTGATGTATAATAGTCTAAACTAATCTAAATAGAGTAAATAATCAAAATGAGATAAGTTAAATATCCAAAAGATGCACACCTCCTACTTAAATATCATTTATTATTAGCTACACAAAAATGTTC